TAAACATTAAATTTCCCCCTTTGCAAAATATCTATTTTACATATTTAATAAATTTATTTTATTGATATATGGAGAATTCCATGAATATATACAATGTAATCATTTACTTATTAATATATTATAAATTAATATATTTCAAGTATCAAACACTCAAGAGCCATATGTATTAGAAAAGCTTTCCTTACTGTCCGTCTCATTTTGCATGTAATTCATAGTATATAATTCAAAGATGTATTATATTTTAATATGTTTTAGTTTTCAGTATTTTCCTTAATTCCTTACAATTAATAGATCTTAACATCAAATCTGTCAAGGTTTATAGAAATGAAGAAAATACTTCAAAGGAGAGTAGGAAGCAATTAACTATGATGTTGAGTAAATTCTGAGTAACGTGATACTGAAAATAAGTAGAGATAGCATTTAATCAATTTATGTTTTATTTAAAAACGAATTCTCTGATGTAAAGCATTTTTTGAGTTTCATCTTTACATCTGATGTTTATGATATCCTAGTGAGTATAATTTAAAAAACTTTGTTCTATACTCAAAACTGTCAAGAGTGCAGATATTATTCAATAATCATAAAAATGAGCCATCCTTAACTCCAGTTCCATGAGAATTCCATGCCCTCTTCTGACCTCTGCGACATTGCACGATACAGGTGCATTCACACACATGCAGGCAGTACACTATTACACATAAATAATAAATAAATTAAAAACGTCGTGCACGCCTTTAATCCCAGCACTCGGGAGGCAGACGCAGGTGGATCTCTGTGAGTTCAAGCCCAGCCTGGTCTACATAGTGAGTTCCAGGACAGCTGGGGCTCCAGGGAGACCCTGTCTCAAAAAGACATATATATGCATGTATGCATGTTTGTAAATTGTCTACCTAGGAAAATTTTCTCACACAACATATTGTACATAACACACACACACACACACACACACACACACACACACACACCCAAGCACAGTCTACTCACCCCAGAGAGGGAACTCATTACAGACTAAAGTTATCTTTTCACAAACAGTGAATCAATAAGTTTTTCTGAGGTTATTAACTATAGTTAACTATAGTACAGGTGAGTAGTTAAATAGGGATGGTTCAAAAACATCACTGAAAAGCTCTCCCCAACATCTGTGACAACCTGGACTTTCTGCAGAACTTTCAGGTAACTCCACAGGTTCCTGTCTCTTCCTGGTTACTAGGCTGGTCTCCTTTCCCAGAGTTGTTACAGATTCTATAATTACTAGAAGGGGTCTTTCTGAATCTTGCAAGTTTCAATTTTCAAACAAAGGTGAAATTTGTTTACTTCCAGAACCTCATGAGACCTCTTCTTTCTCCTGGAGGGAATTCATAGGAAATTGTTACAAAAGACAATGGAATTGTTATAAGAAACTGTGTCACTGGCCTGCCTCAAACAAAGGCACTGAAGAGACTCACATGGAAAAACTGGTAAAAGTTTTTTTATTCCAGCTGACCCAGACAAGCTAATGCTCTGAAGTTATGAGCCCTGACCCATAGTGTATTACCGTTTTCATAGGTTTACTCACATTATTTCTTAGCTGTTACAACACTGGAGGACTTAAATTAGTCTACATAAACAACATTATAGATGTTTTATTGTCCTAAGACCACCATGGGAAACTTCATTCTGTATTTAAGTGGTCAGGCATGTATGCATCAGCAAATATTGAGAATAGGCATTAAGACATTCTTTAACAACAGTGTTTATTGCAGGCGCCTTGGCAAACAAAGTAATTGTAAGACTCCACTTACTCATTTGTGCTAGGATATAGCCTCAAAAATTTCATGAGCATTTACAGAGAAAAACTCCAAATTTTATGTCTCTAAGGAAAAGCTCTGCCCTGAATTACAAAGTACATATATATAACAGAATATTAATCCTACATGGATGCTGGTAAATATTGCGATTTTATTTTATAAATGTTCAATTTCAAAAATCACAATATTTATCCACAAATATGCAGTATTTATAATTTTCAATCACTACAGATTATTACTTTTTTTTATGTAGACACCTTCCTTCCATTGATAATCACCTGTGATTTTTTTCTTTCTCTTCTACCCTCTGTACTCTTATTCTCAAAAAGTAAGCCATGCAAAACTTCCAAATAATACTAGAAGCAAGACAAATACAATTGCCTCCAATTTTACCACATATTCCAAGCCACAATCATTCATGCCATTATCACTCTATGATCCTAAATCTGCCCTGTCTACAATAACTGAAACTATGTAATTAATCTTTTCCTTTCCATTATCCTGATTACTCCCTCTAATAGAATTCCAATGGGCTACTTCTAACATTCTCTTTTGTGATTCCTTAAACTATTATTAAAATGACTGTAAAGTGCAAAGTGCATGGTAAAATGTAATGACATTTTCAATGGTATTGAGAGTTGGACAGTGTAAATGGTAATTAAGCCAGAGGCTGTCAGGAATAAATGAATGATGCTACATAAAGAACTTTTAGGAGTAAGTTAGCTCTCTTTTGTTTTTTTACAAGGTCTAAACTGGATTCAATTAAGATTGAAGATGCAGCATTCGAGTTTCACCTTGGAAGCAGAGACTCATTTGGAAATAAGAGACCATACCTTCTTTAACTTTAATAATAAATGTCCATCCCCCAGAGCTAAGGGCCAGTAAATACCTGTATCTGATGCTTATAAATTACTATATTTGTGGTATTCTATTACAGCTTACTGAAGAGACCTGTACATTGTTTTCTGTTTCAGGATATCTTGTTGACTTAAAAAAAATGGAGAAAGGATTCACTTTTTTCATTCTTGGAAAATTGTATGCATGTATACAGTGCATATTGATAATATTTACTCCCTACTTCCTCCCTAAAATTCCCATAGTCCCTCTATCAATACAGGTCCTTCAAATTTCATGCCCTCGTTTCTTACTAGCTTATTGAGTACAATTAGGGATGTTCATGGTCACATTTAGGTAGTGTCATTCACTGGAACATAGGCAAAGTACAGTAGTCATGGCCCGGAGAAAGTAAATTTTCCCTCTCCCAGAAATCATCAAGTGCCTAGAGATCCTCAGCTAAGGGTTGGATATAGAGTCCTTTGCAGACCATTGTTTCAGTTAAACAAAAGAAAGAAAGTGAAAATTCAAATCATCCAAATCAGAAAAAAAGGGGAAAAATCACAACAGACACCAGAAAGATACAGAAAAATTATGAAGGAATATATTAAAAAGCTAGACTCCAGTGGATGAATTTACACTGAAGGAAAACTGGGTATGAATGCTTGACTGGATAGTACTTAATGTGCATGGCAGAATACATGAGGTCCAGTGGGGGGGCATGGATGGTGGAGAGGGTCTAAATTTGATTAAGAACTGCTGTATGAAATTACAAAAGCTCAAAATCATTAAAAAAGCTATATTCTATTAAATATAAAAAATGGAATTTCTAAATTTATTGAAACCACCAAAGTTAAACCAAGAAGAGATCAACAGCTTAAATGGATTCATAACAAATGAAGAAACTGTAATAGTACTATAAAGCCTCCCAACTTAAAACAGACTAGGTTCAAAGGGGTTCACAGCAGAAATTTACCATGCTTCAAAGAAGATCTACAACCAATACTACTTACATTATTTTTTAAAAAAAGTATCAACACAGGGAGAACTCCCAAACTCCTTCTATGATGCCAGTATTATTATAGCACCTAAAACAGGATTAGGCACAACATAAAAGGAAGCTATAGACCCATATCCCTAAAGAATATATATCAGGTAGTCTCAACAAAATAATAGAAATTATACATACACATTGTGATGGCTAATCCTGGGTGTCAACTTGACTGGATCTGGGATTAATTGAAATGAGAGAGATCTTAATTGATCATC